TTGGAGGCGTCCAGCCCCTCCCTGCCGCCTCTCCTCCTGCCGGGCAAGGATGCGTCGGTCAACTCGCTGTGTTAGCTCTATGAGCTCATCCAGGGAGGTGGGTAGGTCGAAGGACACCAGCTCGTCCTTTACATAGTCCTCCAGGCCCCGCAGGTAGGCATCGCACTGAGCCTCGGTGTTCCACCTGCTCTGGCGGGCTCGGGTGCGAAAATCTATGGAGTAATCTGCCACCGCACGGTCTCCCTGGTGGAGGTTCAAGAGACCGCCGGCGGCATCTGGGCCTAGAGCTGGTGGGCCGAAATCCTTTCTGACCTCGGCGGCGAATGACTGGAATGACCTGCAGACAGGGGGTCTGGCGTTCCCATTCCGCCGTTCCCCACAGACGAGCCCTACCCAGTGAGGTGATTAATGGTGAAGGCCACCCGGGCCTCCTCAGAGCGAAGAGTGGGGCTGCAGGGCGAAGAGGATGGAGCAGTTAGTCAGGAAGGGAGAGCAGCTCTCTGGGTCTCCGCCGTAGCGCTCTGGAGCTCCTATCCGGAGTTCGAAGGCGGGGCCGGGTGGAGTCGGCGGAGATACAGCTGCGGGAGGTGCAGCTGGAGGGCTCTGTGATTCCGTCTGGGAGATCCTTAGTGTGAGCTGCTGGATCTGGGCGACCAGGGCGGTTAACGTCTGCTCCTGAGTGGCGCTGGCCTGTTGGCTGGCGGCTGTCGCCTGGCGCACCTCAGCCAGGGTGGATGTGAGGATCGCCTCGTGCTGCACGAGGGCGCCCTCGACTCTCTCCAAGCGCTGCTGTGGTGAACCGGTGTGCGCTGGCTCCATCTTGTGGCCAGATTGTACTGACACGAACGTGTGGCGGAGCCAAATGCAGCACAACGGCACGGAGTGTTTAGTTAACGCTTTTATTGAACACGGCCTCACAGCAGGCGTTCGGGCACAATGAGAGGCCGAGCAGAGTGCGGTCCTCAGGATCGGGGAGGAGCCGGGAGGCAGCTGGTGCGATCGCTGGGCCGGTCGGGGATCCGGAGCACAGGGGCAGAGGCGCCGGGCAGTCCAAGGAGCAGGCAACAGAAACCCGAGGCGCTCAGGCAGGACTCGTGGTCGGGGACAGAAGGCTGACGTGCTCACCGGGGCGGAGACAGGCGAACGGGTCGGGAACAGGCAGGGTCGAAACCGGGAGATCAGTCCAAGGTAGAGTGCTGGAGAGACTTGCATGACGCGAAGAACAATCTGGCAATGACAGGCTGGGTGTGCAGTGCTTATGTAGCGGGGCTGATTGTGAATGCGAAGCAGGTGTGGAAGGCAGGAGAGTGACTGATTGTGGATGCGGGGCAGGTGTGGAAGATCAAGCTGGCAGGTGAGTGTGACACCTAGTTTATGCGTTCTCAGAGAAAAGCAGGGACACACACACAAGATGTACAATACATTCAATTCCTATAACAGAAATGATTCAAAAAATTGCGAGTAGCAAGCCAGGCGCACGGCAGGACCACTGCAGGGACAACCACCATCAGATAGAACCACCATCCACAGAAGCCTGTGGGGAGGGAGGCAAATACTTAGGAAGAAGGGTAATGTTGGTTAATGATGACAGTAATAGTATAATATTTAAAATAATAATAATGATGATGGTGATGGCAGCAGCAGGTGTCAGCAGGGCCACGGCAGGTGTCAGGACCAGGGTCCAGAAGGAACTACGATCTACGGAGACCTGCTAGGGGAGAAAGCATTAAAAAAACGGCTGAATCAGTGATGTGCATTAATAAAACGTGAATTATTGTAGAAAGAGAGCGTGAGAGAGGAGCTCGGTGTGTCCTAAGAAGTCCTCCGGCAGTCTAAGCCTGTAGCAGCTTAACTAAGGGCTGGTCCAGGCTAATCTGAGCCAGCCCTAACTATAAGCAAAATCAAAGAGGAAATTTGTGATTTTGATGTCTCCAAGACATTCTTGAAGTCTTAACAAGCCGGTCGGTCTCTTCTGGTTTGATCGACAGATACAGTTGAGTATCGTCTGCATAACAATGGAAGTTTACGTTTCCTACAGACAGAGGTTTAACTATGTGAGGAACACACGTGGTGTACAAACCCAGCCTGCTAGCAACACCTCAGCCATGTGGTCGGTAGCTTAGCGTCCAGCTAGCTCCCTTCCTGAGCCTTCCTAATGCTGCGATATCGTATAATAGCTTTTGTTGATTTCAAATGGTACAGATTAGTATTGTTGGAAGTTAATGAACCCTGTTATACTCTAAGGAGAAGTTTTCTGGGATTTTTTTGTGCATAACACAGCCAGAGTTGAAGGAGAGACAGAACATGTGTTCAAATGGGACAAAAAGTACAAAGGTGAGACAACAAAAAGTGATGGAAAGGATAGGGGGTTGTTATCTTCAGTGTTTCCCCTACCATTTTATAGGGGGGGCGGCCCGCCCCTCCCAAGCGCCACCTCCACCCCCCAAGAGAGTCTGGAAGTTTCTTTTAATCCACGCACATACACACACACACACACATGTGAGCACGCTTAACCAGTGACAGAGAGCGTCCATCACCCCCTTATTGGCCGATCCATTCGCACCCATAAAAGTTGTACACCGAGTAAAAAACTGAGCTTGATGTTATTGAGCCAGATAACGTAGTCGATTTTTGGATTGAAAGTAGAAGGTATTCCTTTCCGAATTCAGAGCATAGCAGCACACAACTCGTCACCAAATATACTTTTTCCGCTTGTTTCAATAATTGAATTAACTATTAATGATAGCATTAACGAAACCGGGCGTGCTGTTAGCCAAAACTGTCACAGAGCCAGTCCGCCAAGTTTCGTAACCTAATGTAACGCAACAGTCCGAGTGAAACATTATCTAAGATTTGAACAGTTCAATAATCATGAAGACAAAAAGACTTTGAATTTGGTATGAGAAGCGTAACGTTACCTGGAGAGATGAGAAGGTGACAAACTCCTCCGTTGAACTCCACATGAAATGTGCCCAGGATGAACTGAGGTCTGACGCCAGGTTCAGGAGCAGTCGGTCACGTTTTGTCACTCAAAAATGACTTTTAGGCAATGAACAGCTGTCATGCTGTTAAATTATGGAAGTCTGCTTTTATTGTTATACGGCAGTAAGTGTTAATTGACATGCAAGGGAGGAACAGTTATTTATTTCAGTGACTCAAACATTTGTAAAAGAACTATAAAGTGTGTAATCACTTGATCAAGGCAATTTGCTTAAATTAAAAGTTACTGTAAAAAAGGCTATTTAGTTGTTCTCATTTTCTATTATATTATATTATTATTATTGCAGGAACATATACAATGTGTTTTTATACAGGTTTTATATACTGCATAATGATGAATTGTATTTTATATAATTATAAATTAATGTAGTGCAGTAAAAATGAAAATATTCCACTCAGGCATTTAGTGAGAAGTAGCATCAAAATAATATTTCAGCATGTTAAACAAGTTCCTTTCTAGATTAACGTACCATGCTGCACTAGGTGCAACTCTTAAGTGCAAGAGTTGGAACGGTTCATCCAGAGCGTGGTTATAAAAATAATACCCGCTTGATTCTCTGCAGATCCACGAGATATTGACACAAGATTTTCCATTTTCTGCCATGGGACAAATTCACGCAGCGACGCCGTATGTTGGAGCTACTGGAACCCGAGACTGTCCTTAAAAATGACTTATACGATCAATCTTAATGTTTAAGCCAATGACTTATTAAAAGTCAACTCTATGAATTATAATAAACTAAATACCACCACATTGAAGTTCTTATGCAAGGCTATTTTTTCTATTTTGAGTGTGTGCTCAACCACGTGAGCAGTTTCCACTGTAGAGAAACGTCACATGGAATTAACCCAGTTACTCCCAGGGAGCGAGGATTCACTCATTCATACACTGACGCCTCGGTTGCTAAATGGGCCATTTCAGCTCTGATCTGCTAAAAGAAATAAATGGAAAAGCGTCTCACTCATTCAAAATGCTTTCATTTGAAGATAGCGTGAGCTTTCGTAGACACCCTTTGTCAGAAGATGGTGGAGAGCGAACTAAACTGCTTACTCGACCATCAAACGTAAAAGACCTTCTGTGTAATGGCCCATTTAAGTACATAATGGTAATTATTTCTTATTTAATATTATATCAGGAAGACTGCAGTGTGTGGATATAGATGTAAAAGTTCAACATTCTGTACAAGGCATGGGCTTATTAAGTCATTCCCAGATGCCAAATTGCTTATGAGTAGCAGTAATAACAAAATAATAGCTGAGGTGTGCTGGTCATCAGTTTTTTATGTCGGAAAACAAATGTGACAACTCTACTTTGAAAGAATAGTGACGTCATGTAAGGGCCTTACTTGACAGATCATGCCAATCCCTAATGTGGGCGGCATCTTGATCTCAATTTCTGGAAAAATAAGATGATTAGTTTGAAACAAATCTGAGGTATCCATATTTGTTTACGTTAAAAATAAAAGCATTGGCTGATATTTTTGTCTCTCCAATATCATTTTATGGATCATTATCAAAAGGGCTGTTGTATATTGTATTATTTTCTTATTATTGCTAATTCATGCAGTAGTTGAGGCAACCTTTAGCTCATATAAGGGAAGGTCATCTTAAACAGTCCTTGTTATGTTTCGGACAAAATTAGATATGCACAGCAAGGAACCTCAGTGAAATGTAGTGGACTAAAATAATACGAGACTGTCATAATGACGTCAACACAAGCACGTGACCACCGTAGTGACGAGGAGTGTGGTACCAGAAAACCCAGTGAGGGTTAATGCTGGTCCGGGGGACCACGTCCCTTAAGACTCCCAACACTCACTCTAAGCCTAAATATGGTGTCTCTCGAAGAGGTGACCTGCATTCAGACTACGTCTTTGTTGGTCAAAAGTTGATAAACGTCAACAAAATGATGAAGTCAAGCACGTCGTGCACGTGAAGCTTTGAATAATTATGTTTGACATTAACGCGAGAGACACGCGAGCTGTCTACGTGGATTGTACCCTTCGTCCTTCGGTGTCCTCAGGCAGTCCCGCACGAAACGCATCATTACTGCAGCGTCCCGGCGCTCATCATCTACCGGCAGGCTGTCGGTAAGTGTCCTCCAGCGGCCGACACCGGGAGACGAGTCCCGGGAGCGGATTCAGACACGGCGTCAGGCTCCGACAGTCATCTGAACTTCCGGTTCAACCCTTCAGTATAAGAACAGGTCAGATGAGGGGGAAATATTGTGGCGTTTAATTGTAGGCAAACGAACCAACACAAGAGACAAGCGTTACGTAATGTGCATCATTCCAGATATCTCTATCCTTCATGGCTCTGTCTACTATTCATATGGCCTCAATTTACTACGAAAATGTTTTATTTTGAAGTGAAATCCTCCCTGTTTCCAGCCTCGCGTCTATATTCTCGCTACGGGTCTCGCGCTGGTGCTGTGCCGCATCCTTGGGGTCCATCTGCGACAGGGGCTGCAACCTGTATCCCCCGAAGAGGCATTTTGCCCTATTTGCCCTCAAATAAAAATGCGCCTATAAATACAGTAGCATAAATAGGCCATCATTGAGAATGATTAAACAGAGCTATGCAGGCCATAAGTCCTGCCCGCACTTGTGGAAAATAAATAAAATAACTAAAGATACACAGCTGCAGCAGGCACCTATACGGGAGGCCTTGATTGTTCCTCACGTGTGTTCATAAGGGAATTTAACACTCCACAGTGAGACACAATAGCTGTAAACATCAACATAGTCACACAATTGGGAAACTGAATTCCTGTGCTCTGAATGTATACAAGTTCCAAATATCTCAGTCTCATTTGTGGGAATTGATTTAGCAAACCAACAGTATATCACAGCAGCAAACACCTGTTCGAAAGGGATTAATTAGCCATGGATATCAGGCGATTTTTGGAGAGACCATCGAGTGCTCCCACTCCCACAGATGCCCCCAAAGGCGTCAAGTAGATGCTAATCTAACTTCCTCTCAGACATGTCTCTCTCTCTCTCTCTCTCTCTCTCTCTCTCTCTCTCTCTCTCTCTCTCTCTATATATATATATATATATATATATATATATATATATATATATATATATATGTATAATATACGTATTGATTGCATGATTTATAGCGCATGACGAAATCTGTGTTGTGCATCTGTTTCCCTCACAATACCGGGTAGAGGGCCCCTACCTGGCTGGTAGAGTGTAATAGTTAAAATTAGGACCCATGCTGAATATGGACTCAATAAATAGTAATCTATTAAAACTGCAAGCTGGAATTACTTTTGACTAAAATGTATTAACATACAGTAGGCCTACTTATCACCAGTTATTATCACTTTTGAGTTTTGAGCTAGGCTGTTGGTACTTGGCTAAACTAGCATGGTCCCACTAAGTGGGAAAAGGGAGATGCGGGCTATTCCCGAATAACTTATAAATAACGTAAATGTGCAATTAGTATGAACAGTTGAGACATTGACTCCGTCGGGCTCGGACACAAGAATTTGCGCCATAAGGAACTCTACAATAACAACTTTCAAAATATGTTTCCATTGTAGAATGGGCAGCATTGTAAGGCTAGCAGGTTTTCACTCATTAACTTGTTACTAACACCGACCTGTGCTGCTTGATAGTTAACGTTACTTACTTACCTTCTGAGTGATGAAAAACGTATACCTCTTTTTCTTTTTTGGGGGCTCCCCGGGCAAAAATGTAAAAAGCCATGGGTTTAAAGTCTAATGTAAGTCGCTTTGGAAAAAAAGCGTCAGCTAAAATGACCTGTAATGTAATGACGATTCACGTTTCTGGCAGCCAATCAAATGACAGCATCTTTTCTCGCAGGGTCATCGGGTTCCCAAACTTTGGTCGTGACTAGTATCTATGGACCATATGTAAACCTCCGCCCCTGTGTCATACCACGTTACATTTTTCTTTAAAAACATGCTGGATACATAAAATACATACATTTTTAGATAGGTATATTTCATGTATAGATTGGGGTCTTATCCTTGGGTGTTCCAGCAGTCCTAACAAACAAACAAACAAACAAACCATATGTCAGCCTTGAAAATCCTCAGAAAGTAAATCCCTTTTCACTGATTAATTTAATTACTGTCATATATTTGCATAAAGCCTTCAGCTCAGGGTCAGAATTCTAAACAGACCCCAATATGGCACACCATTTGGTCTGAAATGCAACCACACGTCTCCCCTGAGTTAAACATGTGGCCGGAAGCTCCATTGTCCAGTTTGTCTGTCAGAAAAAAATAACAAATATAATTTTAAATATTACTAATTACTAATACTAATATTATTAGTATTTCATTTGACAATCAGTGGTGTAATGCTATTGATATTTAGCTACCTGATAGCAACTAGAGTCCAAAGCTTTTGCCATGATTATACTAGCAATCATCCTAATAAGTGCTTTTTTGTAATATTTTCTTGTAATGTATTTATTCTAGAATAATAATGTAACAAAAATTTAGGAGGAGCTTTGGAAACCTTTAAGAATACCTTCATTTTTATCAGGACCTTCTTCTTTCCACTAATATAACGCAACAACGTAACGCAACAACGTAACGCAACAACGTAACAAACAACAAAAACGTTGTCTAGCTGTCATCCAAACCCTTATTACAAACACTAAAGACTTATGTTCAGGAGACGTTCTATTTGTCCTAAAAATGAACACCGGCCCCCAAAATGTGACTGTGTCAACCAGTTTAACTCCCCAAAATATGTGTAATGCAGACCCACGCACACAAACAAAAGATGGGTGTGCACACACACAAACAACCTACATAAATATGGTACATTAAGTTATTAACCTTGTCTACCGTTGTAATCCTTCTGACACCTAACAGGACGTTCACATTTTTCCATCTTAGGTGTAGTTGCATGTACACTGAGGTCAGTGTTTCTGTACGCAATGGTGATCCCTTATGGCCACTAGAGGGGGCTCTTCCACAAGGGGGAACTAACGCTCCAACAAACCTCATCAACCATGACTCCATAACCATGAAAAAGCTCTAACCGTCTGCCTATCTCTATCCCTTTGATCGTGTCACTGACTGCCTCCCTAACCCTCTTCTCCCCCTCACGCCCTTCTTTCTCTCTGCGTCTAAACTATGCTGACGTTCCCATTGTGCTTGATAACAGATGGTCCATTGTTCTCTGCCAGTGGGGTCTGAACGAATCTGTGCCCTGTGAATTAAGAATGAAAACAACCATATTCCCTTCAAAACAATAACAATATCAACAAAAACAGCACAGACGCACACGCACGAAGGCCCAAACAGCTATTAAAAACGGGTCTGTCTTCGATCCTGGTAGTTTCCTGTTTATTCTTTTCATTGTGCTTACACTGTGACTGATGCAATTGTATTTCAACCCTTAATTCATTCGTTAATTCATTTTATCTTTTGATGCCTATTAACCTGCTCATAACCTCTAGTCACTCGAGGTTATGAGCAGAACCAAAAACCAGAGTCATAGAGTCTAGTGACTCTGGTTTTTGGTTAGTCATTCCTAAACACAGTTCCTATCATACCAAACGTAATCTAGCATGTGAATTATCTAGAGCAAACCAGTTCTTCTCTGCCACGTAAACTAAATGTCTAACATGAAAAACAATTTAAATAACAATAAATTAAGTTTCAAATAAAAACACCCAGGAACAGGGCGGTGTGATTATTTAGAATTGTTGCCTCACAGCAAGAAGGTCATGGTTTTGAAACTACTGGACTCTCTGTGAGCAGAAATCCTTAATTGGTAAATCTAAATTGCTGGTAGGTGTATCATTGAATTAATTAACGGTCACTCACATATACTGTATTTTAGTAGTCGTAATACATCTTTATATTTCATAATACATTTTACTTACCGTTACCATGCATTACGGTTTGATTATGAATCACTTTAGATCAGGGGTCTTCAACGTTTTTCAGGCCAAGGTCCCCCAAACTGATGGCGAGATGGAGCAGGGACCCCCTATTCTAGTTTGGTCCGCCATCTTTTATTTTTGAGCTCGGCGCTCTTCAGACGTGAGCATGAATGAATCTGATTGGCTGGTCCCTGTGATGTCGTATCAGCATGAAAGGAGCTGTGAGGGAACCGGTGTCCAGCTTGAGAGAGCTGCTGGTAGCTGAATGTTAGTCAATTTTCCCGTTCGCTACAATATGTTAGATTCATGTTAATGTGTATTTAAAGACAATAAATACAATACTACTGATACTGATCCTAATACTGAAGACATTTAAATTTGTGGGGGGAAAAATGGTTGAAAAAAAAAAAAATTGTCTTGTCAACCAAATATTTCGCGACGCCCCCTGCAGTACCTCCGCAGACCCCCTGGGGGTCGCGGACCCCCTGTTGAAGACCTCTGCTCTAAGGACAAAAAGTCAGTGAGTGACTAGTAATTATGGATATGAAGTATACTTGATCTTATCAGTCAATAAGAAATGCTTTATGATGTGTTGAGATTATTTTTATTTAGGGAATTGCTTATTTTTTAAAGTTAGAAGGATTTAAATAATTTATTATAAGAATGTACATAATAAATTACAGAAGGGGGAGTTCCCAGCACCAGCGGTATCTTCCAACTAACAGTGGTCGACCAGTTTAAATGACGAACAGTAACTAGAGGAGCATCGACATGAAATCAACAGGTTATTGTGGTCTGCTGTGTTTTTAAGACCTAGTTGAATTAGGTATTAGACAGTGTGTGTTTTAAATGTGTGAGTGTGGAATAGTCTGACCGGATCTGTCACAGAAGGATGCTTCTGTCCAATGCTGCCAGCAGAGAGCGCTCAAAGCGTAGACATGCACCATGCTGTGGGGGGGACTGAGACAGAATGCAGGATTATGACAGAGTCATCATTGGGGGATGCTTTTCCTAGAAGGACTCTGGTAAATCTCTGCAGGCTTTGAGTGAAACATTACAGTTCATGCTCCAAGTGGAAGGAAAAACTAAGCCGGCTTACAAAATTTAAAACACACGCCTGGGAGCCGCTGTCAGGAAATGAACTGCCAACAGCTTTTGATTCTCAATTAAGCTGTCATTCATCCAATGACAAACACCTGCTTTTCACAACTTCTCTGAAATTACCATAAAATGATGTTTCTTAACACTTCT